AAGACCACCGGTACTTAATCAATTAATTTATAACTCTTTATGGACCAGAAATACCTTGGCGAATCTTGTTCTCTGCATGTGTGGATCTTGTGTGCCTGCGTGACTCCAGCTGTGTGTGTGTGGATCTTGTACTCTGTGTGTGGATATTTTTGTGGTTGTGTGAATCGTGCTGTGCATGTGTGGATCATGTCCTGTGCATATATGAATCACATATGTGTATTTGTGAAAATTGAGACCGATCAACCTCCATAAATATTGGCCGGGGGAATCATTTAAAATAACTTATATGCATCAGCTCTTTAGGTCACAAAGTCTGCAGTGTGTCTTTAAGAAGAAAGTATAAAGAGGTATTGCTAAACATGGGAATTCAAAGATGGAGAAATTAGTAATTGGGAGGAATGTCTGTCATTGATAGTGCTTTTAACAAATTTAACAAGATTGTTAAATTTACTTTCCACCCAAGTGCAAAATCGGGATGTAACTCAGTGTCCATAGATCATGAATGTTTTCTGGTTGAATGAGCAAATGGAGAAACTGCAACTAAAGGTTTCTCTGACTCCTTTGCTAACTAAGCAAACGTTTCATGTCCATGTGTCCTTTAACCGGCATCCCCTTTGTGTGCTCGTAGCGTCATATTCATTCTAGCCGGAATAGACAACTCCATTACCTTTTATTTCTAAATCATTATGCTTTTATTGTGTTGCTGTGTTTTTGTAAAACTGTCTTTTAGTCTGGTGTTTTATGTAATAGAAAACACTTTTCTCTGTTTGTTTGGTATTTAAATTCTCAGGAAAATAATGACAGAGCCTTGAAAATTTTCTATAAACATGAAGGAGAAATTGTACAAATCAAAGCTGCTTTAATTTGTTGGGAGGGCTTAAAAACTGGGGTAATGTTTTGTTTTTTGCAAAACAGGTGATTTTGCTTCTGGATTTGGATAAATTTTTGTTTGTCATTGGTTAGGTGAGCTGCTAAATGATTGATTTCATTATTGTTGGCATCAGTCAAGCAATTTGGCTTTAATATCAGAAATCATTTCCCTATACAGACCAGTCCTCTCTTATGTACTCTTCATTTTTGTAAGTCACATTTTTTGTCTTTGCAGCTATGCGAAAGGAGACTTGGACATTTCTTACATCACCTCCAGAATAGCAGGTAGATAATCGCTATTTAACTTTTTGATGTGTTTTACAAAAGCGATTGTGTTCGGTTATCATACCGTTTATAACCTCAGCTGGATGCCATTTAGTTAAAGTGTTTTACATTAAGACAGAGCAGTATTTCTTTATTCAAAATTTTAATGAGTTTTTTCTGTGTTTGCAGTGATGTCTTTCCCAGCAGAAGGGGTGGAATCTGCAATCAAGAACAACATTGAGGAAGTCCGTCTTTTCCTGGATTCACGGCATGCCGGCCACTACGCTGTTTACAACCTCTCCAGACGATCCTACAGGCCTTCTCGCTTCCACAACAGGGTAAGAAACCTGCATAATTGGTTCAGGGGTGGTTTAATGTGACCTGATGGTCCTAAATGATTGTAGATGTTTGATCGGACAATTACGGATGTATTTGTAGGGTTTGTTTTTCCATTTGTCTGCTCATTTCACTCTTTGTCTCATCTTTCCAGGTTTCAGAGTGTAACTGGCAGGTGCGCCGTGCCCCCAACCTTCGCAGTCTCTACAGCGTATGCAGGAACATGCATCTGTGGCTCAAACAGGACCAGAGGAACATCTGTATAGTACACTGTCTGGTAAGTAGGCGAGTCCAACATTTACCCTCACCAATTAGGGGAAAGATTGACGTTTTATTCTTTAAATCAGATCTGAGCTTCTGCTGTATCCAAATATGTTTCACTATTGTTCTGTCTTTTAATTATAGCAACTAAGAAATCGAGAAAGAATTTTGAGAAAATTGTGTAAACAACAAAAAAAAAAAAACAGCAACCTTAAAATCACTTAAATCTATGTACATTTGAAGCCATTTGAACAAAAATAAGAACATGGTGCAACCCATGTCAGCGGTTTAATTACAGACCTGATAAAACAATCTGATAAATCATTACTGGAAATTATACCTATTAAAACTGAGTTGAGATAAAATACCCTAGTTTAACTCAGCTGGTTTTAAATAACACAATTTATAAGATAACATGTGTTTTCATTAGTGTGTGTATAACTGCAGTTATCTTAACTTTATAGTCCTATAATTATCAGATAAATATAAAATTTGATGTTGTAGCTTTAGTGTTAATGTTTTTTTCTGTTCATGTTCTTATACAGATCAAGACTTGCTAAAACATTAGTCTCTATCAGATTTGCACAATAAAGATCACAGCAGCTTGGCGAGCTGCAGCTATTTTTATCCTCCAAAAGTATGTTTCTCAACCTTGAATGCAAAACAAAAGGCGTAAGTAATTAGGGATGTAATGATATTGACATTATCGCGCTATCGCGGTGGTAAACGTGTCTCGATATCGTCATGGTTGGGTTACAATAATAAAAGGACAGGTCTCCGTTAAAAAGCAAGAGGATTAAATACAGTCCCGCGGAACAAATCATTGTTAACTTCATATAACATGAGCCCATGCGCTGCGTCGTTATACCAACCGCTCTTAAGCCAATAAGATTGCAACCGGATTGCACGCTGTCCACACAAGCTCAAAGCAAGCTAGCATGGCCGACAGCGATAGTTGTAAGGATGAAAACAACAACCCCGAAGTTGAGATTGTGCCAGCCCCTGCAGCTTTTAAGTCAGATGTCTGGAAACATTTTGGTTTTGCCGTGTCAAAAAACACAAAAGGAGAGAAGGTGATATACAGACAATGGACTATATGCAAGCACTGCCACAGTAAACTGCGATAGGTCAGTGTTTTTTTAAAGGCTTTTTGACTGACTATTTTATTTAAGTTGAAGTTATGTTCCTATATACCAGTTTTAAAAGGCTGCTTTTACTTGCCTTGCACATTTAAACCTGACTTAACTTGATATTTTGTTTGCACTTAAAGGGAATTCCCTATTGTTTACAATTGTTCTGGTTGCTTCTTAACTTGAACATTGCACAGAAGAATCAACAGAATATTGATGTTCCTGACTACAACTTGCACTTTAAAAGCACTATGTGATCAGCGTTTTATGTTGTAATGATCCATAAATACAACACTAAATTGCCTGTTGACTGGCAAAAGCAGAAAAAAATATTTTTAAAAGTATTTTTTTTTGCTATAATCACAAACACTATCGTGAGCTATTTAACAGTACTGTGAGCTTTTCCACAATGTCGCAATAAATATCGTACCGTGAGGTCAATATCGAAATTGTATTGTACTGTGAGATTTTGTTATCGTTTCATCCCTATAAGTAATATCATGTTTAATGGGAATTTGCATTAGCATGTTAATGAATCAGGTTGTAGTCACATCTCGATCTTCCTTTAATCCACTGAGATCCACATCCCTAATTATCCACGTGACTAAACTCATCAAAGATTTGATTTCTGTATATTATATGTAACAATGCTGAGTCAGCTGCAGTTTTTTTTTTATTTATGTTAATTTTATTTGTTTTGTTTTTTTCTCTCTGTAGGATGGTCGTGCTGCATCAGCAGTGGCAGTTTGCTCCTTCCTATGTTTCTGTCGCCTTTTCACCACAGCTGAGGCTGCAGTCTACATGTTCTCCATGAAGCGCTGCCCTCCAGGAATTTCTCCTTCACACAAGAGGTAGAAACCCAGTTTGAGCGAAATGTTGACTTTGATTTGTGGGTTTGCTCTTAAATTGTTTAGTTTTATAGAATGAAATATGCCATTTTACAGGAAGATGCTGTCCTCTAAGTGTTGCTTTTCATTCTCAGGTACATTGAGTATATGTGCGACATGATGGCAGAAGAGCCCATAATCCCCCATAGCAAACCAGTAGTCATTCATTCCATCATCATGACTCCAGTGCCACTGTTCAACAAGCAGCGCAACGGGTGTAGGCCGTTCTGTGAGGTCTATGTCGGAGACGAGAGGGTCCTCACCACCTCGCAGGAGTATGACCGGATGAAGTATGTTTGTCCTGGCAGGTTTTTGTCCTGTTTAACCACTGATCTGCATTTATTGACTAGATTGTTGATAGGCTGAAGAAACTAAAGTCACCTGGCGCTATATTGGTACTCCTTATTCTCACTGAGTCGTGCCATAAAAAAAATTCTGTAATGTAATTACCATAAAAATGTAATCAATACATATATATTACATGTACATCATTAATTTAGCATTTTTGGCACATCATCAGAGAGTGTGTGTGTGTGTAATATTATTAAAATCTGACTACAGTATTATGCTCCATTAAGACTCTAGTTTTGTTGTGATAAATTGTATAATATGTCATATTACATGATTTACAGACTTCATACTGATTATGCAATGTGATGTGCCTATTTTTTACCATAAATTACAGTAATCTACTGATGCTATGAAACAGCAAGTGTGTGAAAAACTGATGACTTTATCTTTATTTTAAAAGTCTTAAGCCCCCCTAAAAATGAGAACATCATTGTTGTTCGATGCTGTAGCGCACATATTGTTTACATTCCGACAGGTCTAACTAGGGAGTACCAATATGGCGGCTGGCGACTTCACAGCACCATGTACTACCATAGGCCTATCAGCAATCCAGTGAATAAATAGTGATCAGTGGGTTTAACAGTGTTAAAAACATATCTTTAATATGCAGATACTTTATCTCTCTTTATTTTCAGGGATTTTAAGATGGAAGATGGCAGAGCAGAGATTCCCCTCAATGTTACAGTTCAGGGAGATGTACTGGTGGTGATCTATCACGCAAGGTCTACACTGGGTGGCCGTCTCCAGGCAAAGGTACAGAAACTACCACATGTTCCTCCGTCTTTGTTTTTATTTTATTTGAGGAACAGTAACTGTGCTCTTTAATTTAGACAGCGCTTTGATATCTAGGTGAAAATTCCTTTGCAAAAGGATTTCAGAGACTCTCATTTCTCCTTTTTTTTTTTCAGATGGCTTCAATGAAAATGTTCCAGATCCAGTTTCATACAGGTTTTATCCCAAGAAATGCAACTACTGTCAAGTTTGCAAAGTAGGTATACTGTCAGTCAACAAATACAATGGCAAACTGGAATAATAATGATGCTTAAATAATAAATACTAGATATTTGCAGGAGAGACTTTAAGGTGTTTTTCTATTCTCTTTCCCTTTTTCTCCCTTATGTATCTGGGTTTTTTTTTCCTGTCAGGTATGATTTGGACGCCTGTGACATTCAGGAAAAATACCCAGACTTGTTCCAGGTTAATTTGGACATTGAGGTGGAACCTAGAGACAGACCCATCACCAAGACCCCACCATGGGAGGGCTTCCAAACCAAGGGGCTAAACCCAAAAATACTCTTCTCGTCTCGCGATGAGCAGCAGGAAATCCTGAGCAAATTTGGTAGGTTTATTGAATTTGATTAGCTTATGGTGTTTGAGGTGACTTGCAAATTAATTCAGTTTATTCATAAGAGTCTATTGTTGAGTGTTTAACTGCCAACTTTTTTCCCATGTATTGATCTACATTCTAGCTGCAGCTATTTTCCATTCTGTGTGGTGAGAAACCCTTTTTTAGTGTATTACTGACACCTAAAGGGCTATTGTACTCTTTTTAAATGTAATCTGATCAAAACTGAGCACCTCTGGGATTTGAAAATTGCATTTGGTCGAGTAATGATTACATTTCAGCTAATATCCCAGCTCTAATCCAAAGCCTGCTCTGTAAACGCTTTGAACATCCCAGAGTTGAATCTGTGATCAAACAAGTAAGTTACAGCTGCAAGCCTACAAAGACATGGCTGTCCACCTAAACAGAGAGAGCAGGCAAGAGAAGCCTTAACCTGAGCAGCAGCCAATAGGGCTCTGGTACTCCTGAGGAAGTGGGTGTGAGTCACTATTCCGGTGGTAGAACCAGTTAAAAGGGCAACCGTTACTCACCCTTATCAAATATCCTGTATTCCCCCCAAAAAAAGGAAATTGTTGAAAGACAGTGTTTTATACGTCCTTTAATTTAGCCATAAGTAACGATTGGAGAAATCGTCAACATGTGGAAGAAGCTTCTCTGGACAGATTAAACAAACTTTCTGATCTAGATGCAAAATGCTTCGTTTATGGATGAAGCTGAATAAGGAGTGCTAATAGAATGATGTTCATTTTATGCACTTTAACTTTGATGAGCCTCTTTTTGCATAAATTGCTGCATGATTTCAGTGTGGCATGGATGGGATTAGTCTGTGGCTCTGCTGAGGGGTAATAAGAGCCCAGATTGCTTTGCTAGCCAGTCGAGCACAGTAACATCACGGTCCTTGAACCAGATGATGGAACCTATGGGCAGCCAGTGCTAAGTCCTACTAGGCAATGAAATCAGCATCTCCATAAAACTTGCCAGTAAGAGGAAGCATGCATGCTCTAAAATTGCCTGGTAGATTGCTGCGTTGGCTGGACTTCAGCAGATAACACAGCATCTTGATTTCCAAATGAAATGCAGACTTTACTTTGATCTGGAAATAGGACTTTTGATCAATGGGTAACAGTTTTGTTCTTTTCTTCCTTAGGTCAGGCTAGATGTATATAGACCATGCCTAGTATCCGTCTGTGTCTACTGGTTCTTGGTGTGTTGACTCCAGCCTTACAGTTCCCAAACACTTTACTGGATTTTGCTCATGAATACTCTCAGCACATTTTCCTTTTACACTTCTCTTCTGAATGTGCTTGGATACTAAACACTCAGCTTCTTAAATCACGCTCTTCAGTGACAAAAGTCCCTTTATGTAATGAATGCATTCTGTATGAGTTAAATGACAATTTTTTTTACATTTAATATAATAAAAATAATTGAAATGTATTGATCTCACACTGGAGAAATGTACCTCTGCATTAACCCATCCCCTTGGAGAGCAGTAGGCTGCCATTGTGCAGCGCACAGGGAACTGTGTTGGGTTAAGGGTCTTGCTCAGGGAGCCAGAGTGGCAGTCTCTGGGAGTTGAACTCAGAACCTCCGGGACCTAAGTGCTGTTTTCGCGTATCTGTATCTTCAAAGTAAAAAAAAAAAACAGCTTCTTTAATTCTCTCTGTGTTCATATAGTGCCAATGTATATATTTTTTTCATTTTCAAACAAATATTGTCAAACATTTTTTTGCGAGATGAAATGAAATCAGACTTTCACAGAGAGAAGCACCAAACTGCACAAGTAAAACCAGTTTCATTTCTTTGTCTAATAACCACAGGTAAACCCGAGCTCCCTCGCCAGCCTGGATCTTCTGCATTTTATGAGTCAGAGTCGCTTCCACCAGCTCAGACACCAGATGGCACCAACACAACTGAATCGGAAACCCCTGACAGTAGCGATGGTAACCCTAGCAACTTCTTTCAGACTCTAGATTGGGAAGGTACATTTTCTTTTTTATATTCTCTTTAAAATTATCTAAAGTTGTAGCCAATGTTAATATTAGGACTTATTTTTGTTTTAAAGAAGAACTTTGAGCTTTTCATGTCTTTGTCTAAATGATTACACATTTCAAATGTTATATAACCAAACCTTTTCCTTGAATTCAGTGTACTTTGACACTTAAAGCTTATTACATTTGCTATGATTTTCCCCTTGTAAACATAGATGCTCAGAGTCCTCGGGATGCTACAGACAGCATAGGAGGAGGATCCCTGAATGATCAGGAAGATTTTAGTGATCAGTCAGAGGGAGAGTCTTACTCTGCTCCCAGTGGGGAAGCTTTATCCCTCGACCACAGTGAACAACTGTTAGATGCTGATTTTCAGGTGGGTCAAATATAATAATTATGTCCTTATGCTGAAGTAGACTATTTTGACTATTTTATCTTATTTTTCCCACCAGACACCCTCCCCTGCACCCCAGGAATCTACTCGTAGCGACACAGCTGACCTCCTTGGCTTGAATTCGGACCCTCAACCTCCTGACATGTCTTCAGTCTCCTCTGGTGCCTCTAATCAAGGGGGGCAGGCAGGATTGAAAGCTGCCTCCAGCAATAGTGATCTTCTCAACGACTTGTTTGCACCCCCTGCTGGTCAGACCGGAGTAGTGCAGGAAGACCTGTTCTTCAGTGAGGCCACCAGTGGAGCCACACCTGATTCAAAACGTGAGGACTGGGAGTTACACATGCTCTCAAAGTGTTTACGTATGATATAAATGTTATGTGATTCTTAATGTACTGTAGCCATGGGCGACCTGTTTGACCCATTCGGGATGGGACCCGGCTCTGGTGTTGGTTCCAGCATCGGCTCTTCTCGCCAGGCTTCAGGGGCCGACCTGTTTGGAGACTTGTTGGGCTCTGATAGTTCAGCAACCAGCGGATTCAGCTCAGCTAATAGTACCACCACGCCTGCATCAAACACCAGCCTTTTTAACCTTAGTAAGTCTCCTATCAGCTGTCTACCCCCTTTTCTTTGTTTGGTCCCATGTTGTCACATTGCATAGTCAATCCATTAATTATCCATAAATTGGTGCAAAACTGTGAAACAGAAGGATTTGTATTTGTACATACGTTAAGCAATGTTTTGTTTTCTTTTTATCACATAAGATCGCACTGGGATAAACTGGTGTTTGTGATGTGTACATGTCAAAATGTGAAATCTTTTCTACCTAGATGCAGACTCAAATAAATAGGCAACTGCATCTTGCTAAGTTGCTGAACTGGAGTCACTTTGTCTTTACAGACAGGATAGCAAAAGATGTCCCTAAGATGACGTCCTCAGCCAGCCAGCCGGACCTGCTGAGTGGGTGGGACAGCTGGGCTGCTCGTACCACAGCCGGCCTCAGTAACACCACCAACAAACCCAGTTTTACAAACACAGGTGGGTCAGAAACCTCCCATTAATTAATTTGTATTTTTTCCAACATGTCATCTTTGACCTGCTGTATTTTCTTTGCTTTTGCAGCCACTGGTACGTCGTCCATGTCGAAGGCCAAGTCTCAGACATTCGATCCTTTTGCAGACCTTGGAACCCTGAGCTCCAACTTACCAGGTATATTTCCTCCTACTACCTTGCAGCATGCTGATTTATAAGAACTGACCTTATCATTTAAAAAATATCCACTTGAACTGTTTAAATTAATAGAGAAAATGTATTTTTTTTTTCTTGTAGGCTCTTCAAGCGGTAACTTTTCAGGGGCTTCTTTTAGCACAAAGACTCCATCTTCCACCACCCCTTCCTCTGCGAAGCCTCAAACCCAGACCTGGCAGTCTGGACGTCCCGCATCTGCTCAGACCAAACCTTGGATGTCTGGACCTGGATCAACCCCTAAAGGAGCTTCAACATCTCAGCCTGCAGCCGCTCAGCCCTCTAAACCCAACTACAACCTTAATTTCTCTAGTGTCATCGGTGGGAGGGAGGAGAGGGGAGTCCGCGGGCCTGGATTTGGTAAGATGATCTTAATGTAGAGAACGGATTTGAGTATTTTTATTTCAAACATACTTTGTTTAAGTTGATTTCAGATCTAAACTTTGTCATTGTTTTACCCTAGGCCCCAAACCAAAAGTGAAAGAGGATGATTTTGAGGAACTCCTGTCCACTCAGGGTTTTGCATCCAAGCCTGATAAAAGGGGACCAAGGACCATCGCTGAAATGAGGAAGCAGGAGATTGCAAAGGACATGGATCCCCTTAAATTGCAGGTACCTCAGACATGACCCACAAAAACCCACATGGTGTTAATTTTTATGAAAAATGAAAAGCATACAGCTCACATCAAAAGCTTACAGTATCTTGCAAGAGCCAAATCTTAAACATGTTCATGGATGTGGAGGGATTAGTAATGAATCTTTACTTTCCCTCATTTTTGTTGATGGTAAATCTCTACCAGCTTCACACATCTACAGAAATAAGTCTTTGGCCCAAGATTCTCAGCTCAGCCAGATAACAGTAACATAACAGTATTTTTTTATTTTTTTATTATTATGTTCACTAAAGCTTTAAAAAAAAAAAAAAAAAAAAGAAAACTGGCTTTGCCAGAGCAGCAAAATTTACACTTGGATGCACTTTTAATAATTTGGTGACTTCTGGTGTTCATTGGTTTCATGAAATATTAAATCCAGAGGAGTATGAGGACATTTAGACCACACTGACCGTACACATTCTACATTTTGTTTCCTCATTACTACTTAGCTTCTTGAGTGGATCGAGGGGAAGGAGCGGAACATCAGAGCACTGCTTTCAACTCTGCATACAGTTCTGTGGGAGGGGGAAACTCGCTGGAAGCCTGTGGGCATGGCTGACCTTGTGACACCCGACCAGGTGAAGAAATACTACAGAAAGGCTGCGTTGGTCGTCCATCCAGATAAGGTACAGCTTCACAATCCTGCATGTCTTAGAGTCCAGTGCTGAGATTATCAGTTGTTAATATTGTATTTGACTATGCAGGCTACAGGTCAGCCTTACGAACAGTACGCTAAGATGATCTTCATGGAGCTGAACGACGCCTGGTCAGAGTTTGAAAACCAAGGATCCAAAGCTCTCTTCTAAAACCCTGGCCTTGACCACTACCAAACCAGACCGGACCGCACTGGACTGGATTTGGCCCAACCAAACAAGTGTTTGAGCGGGCCAGAATAGACAGGGCAGAGCCCACATTGGGCCATTAAGGTCACTGAGCCTCTGAGAGGTGTCCTCTCTACAACTTCCTTCTTTACTCGCTGGTGTTTCCACAGCTTTAGAAAAGACCTCACCTCTCACTGTAATGAAAAAATATTCCGACTCTTGTTCTTGCAGAGAGTTTAATAAACATTGCAGGGGGGGGTTTAAGCTCCGCCTACCTGTGTGACTGCCTGAGTGGTGCTGCAAACATTCGGATGGAGGAGTAGATAAAAATTAGGCTAAAAGCCTTATAAAAAAATTGATTTGAGGGATTAACACTTGAGGGGGGGAAAAAAAGTTTGGTTTATATCTGTCAGAAAAAAAGTGCTTTGCACATTTGCAGCCAGTCTTATATTTCACTGGCAAATGAAAGCGATCATGTCTGGTAACTGTTCAGCTTTGCAGCCGAAGTGGAAGTTTACAGTTTAGACTTGTTGCCTCAGATAATGGAAAATATGCCAAACACAGACATTGATTGAGAAAACCGAAAAAGATTAAATAAAACTTTAAATATTTCCTTTTTTTTTATTATTTTTTTCTTGCTGCTGTTTTGGGTGAATTTTCTCAAGCTGCAAAGTCAGACAATTGACCTGCTGAACACTACCCGTGCTGCTTTACACCTGATAGAGAGAATATTAAAACATGTGCTGCATTCAAACATGTTTTGGGAGTTTCTGCACATAAATTCAGTCAGACAGTCTGATTTATTTGAAGTGCTCTTTGAATTCTACCTTTTCAGTGTACACTGTGTAGCATAATGCATGCCCTTCTGAACCAAACCTCTCAGCAACAAGAACAACAGGCGGGTGAGTGTGATTCCAAACCAGTGACGCCTGAATGAGCTGTTCTTTTTTTTTTTTTTTATTGAAGTGCTTTTTTGTTGTAGCAAGAAAGGGAAAGATGGTGCCAGTATGATTGTACTCAGTGACAGATTTTAAGCTTCTCTATCATCATCCTCCATGTTGTTTTGATCCAGGCTTTTTTATCCTTTAAGCTCCACACACCTTTAGCACAAAGTTAGTAAAGGATTAAGAGTTAAAAGTGTTGATCTGTTTTGCTTTGATGAGGGGGGTCTTACTCTGTATTGAACTGTTGGAATATAACTTCTGTGTAAATTTTAGAATATCATCCATCAACCGGCTTTGTAAAGATTCCAGTTTGGGGGATTATTTTGTTATCAAACCTCAAGCTGGACTGTGTGATTTTTGTCTGTATGGTAACAAATAATGCAGCTTTATTGGCCTTCTGGCTCTGTTGCTGATTATCATTCGTTTGTTATATCTTTCCAACTCTGCTTCCATTTACATTTTACCTCATGGACCAATCAGATATATTTTTTTTCTTATTTATTATAGCATTTTATGAAAGCAGTCAGGTGAGGTGTATTCACACATATTAATGGCACAGGTGGTGAAAGTCACTTTTCTTATTGGAAGGTTTGGGGCACAAATGGGACTTTTGTTAATTGATCACAGTGAGCCGCCACTATTTTCATTCCAAAGCATCATGTGTTGATATGAATGTGCTTTTATAAATGTATATTCCATCTGTCGCTTCTCTGGGTGTTCAGTCCTTTTATGTCACAAATTGCATTTTTGTTTTTTGTTTTTTTTTCTCCCTTTCAGTTAACAGGTGACAATGTTGCTTCCGTTTTAGTTTTGAATGTTCTGTAAAAAATCTTAAATAAAATCCATACAGAAGGATTCAGCAAACCTAAATAAAACTGAAGCTAGATTTTTTTTTTTTTTTTGCAGTCTGACAATATAAAGTATAAGAATGGCAAACAAAAAAAAGACACTTGACAGTGTTTACTTTACCAAATTACATCATGCTAATATGAATGTAAATTTATAAATGTAAAAAGTCATTAAAAAATCTTTTGATCTGGGATATTTCTGTGTTTTTATTTCAGTCATAAACATGCTTTAAAATTAACATCCCAAAAGTTTAAGATGAAATCAGTAAATAACCAGGATGTAAAGTTGAAACCAGACGTTTTCTATACTGCATAAAAAGAAATACCCTCTATTTCATGCATATATTTGTTGGAACAGATGAACATAGAACTTTCAGGCATTTGGAAATTTCACCTGAGGATGAACCAGACTTGTGCAAGTCAATAAATCTGATATCTTGTCTGATTTCATTGGACCTTCTGTATTACATTTAAGGTTTCTGTAAAACATCTAAATGTTATCATTAAACCTATTGGATTCTTCCTATTTATGTAAACCTGAATATAAAGAAAGTAAAATGGTCAAACTTAAATCTTTCTCCTTATAATAACTGGAAGTGGTTTTGTAACTAATGACCTAACTAATGAAAAATTGTCTCTTTTTATATTGTCTGTCTATTTCCAGTATCGACTGTAAGCTGCATTTCTTAGCAATGCATTATTTTTGGTCTCCAGTTGTAAAAGTAACCATCATCTATTGGCGTCATTACCTAAAATAGTAAAATATTTTGGGTTTGCATCATTTTTATTTTATTTTAAATAGATTATTTCCATTTTTTTTTTATACAACTTGGGGATAAACAGAGGAGCAATATTTTCCATGTTTGTATCAGCCATGTTGTGGTGACCCCTGTTTGAAGCAATTATTTTATTTCAGGAATATGGAGCTAGCAGCAACTCATGGCGAAACCAAATACTATTTCACAAGTAGTTATACTACAGTTAGTTTATCAGCATTACATTTTCAACACAGGTAATTCATCAGGATACTAACTGAGAAAGATCTACTCATAAAGACTTCCATACAACTAAACAACTGCTGTAAATGTAGTTTTTTTTGTACACGTAATGAAGACAAGTTTTCTGGAGTTCATACTGAGCATCAAAAATGGGGAAGACAGTGGCTTAAAACATGATGTGGTTGTATTAGACAGCTTAGGTATGAAGATTTCAGATCATCTTGATGAACTAGGATCCTATTCACATACAACCATCGCCTGGTTAAGTCGGCTGAAATCAAGAAACAGGCCAGATTTCCCGCAGGCTCCGAGAAACTCAAACATGGATTAGAAAAACCTCAGCTTGATTGACCAGTCTTTTTTTTCGAGTGCAATTTTTAATTGATTAAGTCCAACTGTAGCGTTGGCATGAATTCACTCAGTATCGGCATAATGGTTTGCATTAGATTTAGGAATTATATAATATGGGGGAGTTTTTCTTTGGGGGCTCAAGTCCCAAAGGAGGATATATTTTTTATGCCATAATCTACCTATTGTACCCTCAGGGTACTTGTCCCATGTATAATTCCAGCAAGACAGTACACTGTGTCACAAACTATTCAAACCTTCTCCTCCATCAGGTTCATTAGTTTGCCAATGAATCCAAATATCTATGCAAATATCTGATATTTCAAGCACCTTGTTCAGGCTGTGTCACAAAGAATTAGAGCATTTCTGAAGGCAGGGCTACAGCTTTGTATGTGTCTACCTAAAAAGATATGTTTGGTAAGGATATTTTTCTTTTCTAAACTATATTACGCACTGTAAACTAATACTATTTAAAGTTGCACCTATAAGGACACTTAAAACCATTTAAACTTTCTAATTTTTCTAAAAATCACACACTCCAATCAAAATCAGTGTATCTCTGCAACCAAAAGGTCTATTTTAATAAATTTGGTAAAACAGCAATAATGACAATATATTTAAAACTCGTTTTTGGCTCAGAAACTAGTTTTAATTAGTTTAATCTGTTGGTTTTGTTTTACTGTTGTTGTTTCTCTGCAATGCTTTGGTTCAGAGGAAAGTGAAGCACAGTCCCTGTTTTCATTTGGTATGTATTTTGTGCTGGTTTGATGTGGGGTTGTGGCTGTGGAGACAGAAATGTTATACATAGGTCGCTTATGTTGCTTTTACGTTTTACTTCTTATTTAATTTGGATATAACCTTAGTTGCCGAAAAAAAGAAAAAGGTTTTTACTGGCTTGTAGCCTGGATTATGCAATTTAATTTGATAAAACCCATTCCTACATTCTCTGTCCTTTAATCATCCTTTGTTACAGTTTTAGTTACCGGTAAGTAACTATGACGAGGTACCTTAAAAGGTACCTCTCAGGTTCAAAGAGAGTTGCTAGCATTGCTGAAGGTCTATTCTAGCCTGAGGTATGTCTGGATAGAGTTTGCTTAACACTTTAACGTCCTTGTCCAACTCCAGCCTGCATTTTCCTATGAAAATGATCAACCGTTTGGTTTACCAGGCTGTTAAAAGGGTTAATCTTCTTGTGCATATGTGAAATCTGAATGTGCATTCTGGCTTTTTCTCATAGTCCAAAAACATAACCTTTAGGCTAATTGATGCCTCCCGGTGGAAGTTAGGAAGTAGTGTGTGGGTATAATTAGTTGTCCAGTATTTTATTGCTTTATTAATGAGCTCCCTGTTCAGGGTAACCTATATCCTGCCTTTTAACAAATGACAGCTGGAAATGTGCATCATCCATGTGCAGAGACAGATGGAAGGACGAATTAACAATCTAGTGCTGGGGTCACCAACATGATGCCCACGGGCACCAAGGGGCCCCCAAGGAGCTCATAGGGTGCCTTCAGTGTCTTCTTGAAAACAGGACAAATCACCAATGGGCTAAGATCGAAACTTTATATGATTTTGCTGCTCTTCTTGTTTAATTATTAAAAGAGCATTTCATTATAGTAATCATGTATAGCAGGGGTCTTCAACGTTTTCCAGGCCAAGGACAAAACTGAGGGCGAGATGGAGTGGGGGACCCCCTAATAATATATATTGTATGAAATTGTGTTATATCAAACTGGTCCTACACTCAAAGAAATGATTCACAGGCTTAGTAAATATCATAGTAATAAATAGCTATACTAACTTCATAAAATCTCTGAAAATCACTTAAGTGATTATTTGAGTTGTACATACCAAAATAAATGTCTAAAAATTCAACTGTTATTTTGTGTCCATTTTACAACTATGATTTAGGTTTATTTCACAAAATGAAATTAGTATTTGCTCAACAAATAATTTTTTTTTTTAGATATTTTTATTATTTTTGGTAAATTTTAAACAAAATATTTGGGAATGGATTAATTCTACTGATTAGTTTCAAGAGCTACAAGTATTACTCATTCTAACTTATTATTTTAACTTAATCATCTACTTAAGAAGTTGAGTAATTTACGCGCCAAATTGATGCTAATCGTGCAGCCTCATGGGAAATCTGTGGCAGCCTGCAGGTGAAAGGAGAAACGCCGACAAAATCAGCACCTGGGAGATTACTGTGGTAAGTATCCATAGCCTGGGTGCCATTCCGAACTTAGTCCCGCCCACAAGGTTTGAGGTCAGGCTAATGTGAAGTGTATTGTAGTCTTGAACATAATAAAGGATAAATATAGTTAAAATATTAAGTACATGTAACATATTTATTTTGATAATTGATAGTTAAATATAAATTAAATTCAGTTAAAGCATTAAGTAAATGTAACACCTTTCTTTTGTTAAGTTATACTTTTTCTTCTAGTTATATCTACTTAACATTTTTGGTCATATCGACACAATTTTTATTACTGGTTTTCACCAAGGGTTACTATTATATTGACTTAAGATTTTAATTAAATCTACTCAATTTTATCTGTCAGGATACTACATTTAGTTATTCAGATGTACTTAATTTTTTTTAACTTACATTTACTAAATTCATAAGTTATATCTACTTGATTTTACAGCTTTTAAATTTACTCAATGTTTTTAAGTGTAAAAAAGCTGCACTGATTTAATTAAGTACTGTGCAGTATTATTTCTTTGAGTGTATAGTCACTCTGTTGCATATGGAGTAATGTAACGAAGGTACTTTTGAATTGGGATTATTAAAATATATCTGATTCTGATTCCTCTTTGTGAATGAAACGGTGCCCAGCTTGAAAGAGCTCCTGAATGTGTGCATTGTAAAAAATTGCAGAGGGGAATAAAAAAAAGTCTAACTAACCAAAACTCAACCCCCTGTTGAAGACCTCCGATATATAGCATTTAATCGTTTATAGAAATTTCAAAATTAAAAATATCTAAAAGAAAATTAAAAATTGAAATAAATAATTAAAATATATTTATCATGTATTAGGTTTAGGTGAACCCTCCAGTTCATAGGTCATAATTGGTAGCCCTTCCTATGACTCAGCAACCATGAAGTAGCGTTCCACCTTAAAAACGTTGGTGACCCCTGATCTAGTGTCTGTTAACCAGAAAACAGCCCAATGCATTTTAGTTGTTAAATGCTGAGACCCATTTTGTTTAGGTCAGTGGTTTCCAAACTTTTCTTACTGGGCAGCCCTTTACTTATCAGGAAAGTTTTTGTGCCCCTAATAGCCGCCACCGCAATGACTGACCAACCTTTTTAGTAGTTGAACGCCAACTACAGTAAATTGATATTGCAATAAAATAAACTACAATCTCAATTAAATCACAAAACTGCCACCTTTAAAGTGTAACTACTTTAACTGCTGACTTTGTAATAGAATATAACATAGTTATCAACACATTAAAGACAGAAACCCCCCCAAAAAGTCTTATAATCCCCCCATGTCCTCCACTTTGGGAATAAAAGGGTTAGGTTAAGCTAGCAAGCCAACATTCGTCATTGAATTATGATTTTATTTCACATGTCAAGACAACCCATCAATAACTCATAACTTTTACTTTGAACACACAATAAATTTTGAATAAAGGTGGGAACAGAAACAGAAAAAAAATGGGCTTTTCAAGGCTTGTGTTGTCAAAGTTCTCTTTACAGATTAGCATTAGCATCATGCTAACTTTACCATTGAGCTAATGGTAAAGTTAGCATGATGCTAAAACTAATCATGATGCTAAAGCTAATCTTTGGACAGTGAACATTGGGGTTTTGTTTTTTTATTAAGGGAAGTTCTCTTAAAGGTTGTAGACAGCTGCTGAGGTATGTTACTTTTGGCATCTTCATTTAGCATAAATCTAGATTTTCTTTTTCCAGAGTTTAGCCTGATAGTGGCGAAGGAGCAGGGAGAGCTACCGCAGCTTGGTAATTCATCTAAACATTATTCTATGAACCTTTAAATCATCAACATATTTAGCATTAATATTTCATCCTAACTGGGTGATTATTATTTGCAGGAAATTGAGGTGGAGAGCAGCGTGTCGAAAAGAATTTATTTATGCGTATTTTAACTGCTGTAGTTTTATCAGCAACATTATTTTCTTGCTATCTTAATTTGAGGATGAAATCATGACTGAGAACAAAATGTTAAACATTCCAGTCAAAGTAAAAGCTCTGAAAATGAAGTGGCACTAAACCAATGATCAGCTTTGATTTTAAACTCTATCAGGACGTTACCCTGCTTTAAAAGTTTTATTTATTCTATTGGACAATAAAACAATCCAATCCTACTATCTGAAAAGTGGGGAAGTTTAGATGCTTCAGTAGAAAGAAAGGGAAAGGCTTTTACAATACGGTGACCAGACATCCCCGATTTCCAGGGACAGAACCAGTTTTTGACCACCTGTCCCCGAATTTAACCTTGTAATGAATGACAGGGGAAATGTTGTGTGTAGACAATTAATACAGTAGAAAGAGAGTACAAGCATGCAGAAACTGATGTTTCTGTTTTAGATCAGTGTAAGATTGATAGAAGAGGAGAGGAAGAAGAGAAGAAGACAGAAGATTAAATGAAAGCGGAGGAAAAAAGAGACACAGATGGAAAGAACAGTTGAAGAGAAGGGAGAAAAATCTACTTAGAATAGTATAAAGGAAAGCAGGTAGAAGTCAGCTAGAAAGAAAAGAAGAAGGAGAGGGAAGAAGACGGAATGAGCAGGTGGAACTAATAAACACTGTTGATTGGTTAATCTTATTAACCTTAGGAAATAGGAGAGTCATATTCCTGGATTTTACACTTGATTTTTGTTGTTTAATTATTGAATTAATATGCAAAAATGGATGAAAGCATCACTGTCCTCCGTTTCCTATTTCAATTTTCATGATATGCATTTATTGTTAGCTGGAAATGTCCCTGGTATGGATTTCAAAAAATCTGGTCACCTTATTTTACAACAGCAGCGGTGCTGTCCAGTTATCATAAAATGTGTTTGAAGATAAAATGAAATGCACAGCAGCAAAATAATATCTACGATAAAAAAAAAAAATAAAAATTTAAATCCCTTTATTGTCCCACAATGGGGAAATTCACACTCTGCATTTAACCCATCCTCTTGGGGAGCAGTGGGCTGCCATAGTGCGGCGCCCGGCGATCAGTGTGGGGTTTAAGGTTATACAGTACTGGGTGAGAGAGAATTTTTTTTCATTAGTCCTTTGACAATAATGCATGACAGTTATGTTTTTAATTAACCTCTATATTTTCAAGAGGGGATCATTTTAAGATAATAAAAGTCAGCTTTGGTTTTACAATATTAGTTTTAGGCCTGAAGACCAGATTTCCTGGATGCCAAAATCAACACCTAGCCCACAGCATTTAAATTATTAGCTAGTTACAACCTTTTAGATAGTACTTCACTCCAAAACAGAACCCCTGAACTGCCTTTTAAAAGTTATCTGAGGTTTGTACCTTTTCTAAAAAGAGTGGCGAGCTAAATATGTAACGCTTAAACAAATGCCGAAAAACAACACAAGACCTTGCTGTCTAACAGACAAAAATCTAATTTAAAATACAGACCCATTTTCCAGAGTTATGTCTACTAAAAAAGATTTGTGTGTGCACTTTGGAGACAGATATTCTAGGAAGATAAAAGAAGATTTGTGTTGTTGCTGAATCGTCGTGTCTTTAGCACCTTTTCCTGAACTACTTTAGTCAAACTTATTGAACATGGGGTTTATTGTGTAGGAAAATATTAAAAAGAGCCAAAAAAAAAAGGCTTGTTTTAAAGTCTTAGCCGCTGTCGTGAGAGCAGCCGTTTCTCCATAGTCACATCTGGTTTAATGTTCCAGCAGAGCAGAGGACAGGAAAAGGCACTTCAAAGTGTGGATGCCCACTTCGATTTCCTGTCGTTTTGCCCTAAGCCTTGAAAAATGAAAAGGTCTGGTAAATTCCCTGGGAAGCTTTGAGTTCTTCAACAGGAACCTGAAAGACACAAATATTACATGCGCATCATTTTTAGTGAATACCTGCAAATAAAAAAACAATAAAATGTTTGAAAAGACTTATTTCATACTTTGAGTGTCTTACACATAGAAAAGGGTCTTCTGAGCTGTGGTCCTAGGCTCTAACCCTCAATGGGGACCTCAGGAACAATGTTTCCATTCTGTGCTATTTCCACAGAAAGTTCCTGAAACACAGAAATAAGATCAGTTAAGTATTCAGTAAACACAACTGTAAATATAGCAATTCCCTTGAATTAAACATACTATTATATGAGTATATATATTACGTTGCTCTGACAACTCTTTTTTTTTTTTATTATTTCGGCTGTTTTGATTTAATATCTTAAAGCTACAGTGTGTAATTTTTAGCGACATCTAACGGCCAGACTGCAGACCGCAGCAACATGAACATCTCCCCCCCACCGCTTCTCCCCCCCAACAGTACGGC